ATAGAGTTTTTAGAATTCAGAATTTCAGACCTTCCTTCATACTTTCCTAAAATAGAATCTTCCCAAAATACCAAGCAATTTTGAAAAATATCTTCAATTTAAATAACTTTCATCTCCTCAGACCCGTATCCTCCCTGAGTTGTTTTTCCCTATCAATAGTACGAAACCAAACCTCGAAAATGAAAAAGAAACCCCAAAAGCAAAAGCGTAACTATAGATTTTGCAGAAAGAACACTCGATTCTGCAAAAAACGTTCATTTCTCAGTAATGTTACAAGTGATTGCCCAATAATTTTTAATATTCTCATATTTTTTATGTATGTAGGCCACAGAAGTCCCTATATCAAGAATGCTTCTATGATTTACTCATGACTTTTGTGTCGTGGGCCGCAGAAATTCCCTACACCAAGAACTTGTTTAAATAAATATAACTCGTTACTCGTTCCTTGAAATAATTGCTCTCAAAAAATATGTGACGCCTTTCGAGAAAAATCAGAAAGCTCTTCTACCTCGACCTCGAAGCTTGACCTAGCCAGACACACCCTGAGGGGTTCGCCAAATTCTGCGGCCATTCGCATGAGCCAGAATGGCCTCCTGTTGCAATATATACCAACATGCAAGGCACTGGTTGTGCTATCCGCGTCCTCAGTTGTAATAACCGCTTTCTTGGTTTTGGTATCCTCCAACTGGCCCCTCTGTTCTTCCCAGAGGAAAGGGAGGCCCACCTCCCCCCCCCCCCCCCCCCCCCCCCCCCGTTTGCAGGCTTCTTAATCGCTCATTGGGCTCTGAAAATCCAAGCTCCCTATCCGCTGACCCAGTCTCAAGTTGCGGCCTCGGGACTCCAACAAGCTCGTTCCCTTCTTCTTGATGTCCTTGCGCAACGAGTCTCGACTTGGCCTCAAAGGGAAATTCTCTCAGAATCTGCTCCTTGGACTTCCCGGTGTTCTTGGAAACGTGCAGCGGCGCAAGAAGACGAGGTTTAGAGTTCTTGTCTGCGCGAACCCACCTTGTCCCAATGATCTTCACGTCCTTGGGGAGGTCCTCGCATTGTTGCGCTGTTAGCTTTTCCACGGCGTTGAACTTCTCCCAGGACATCCACTCCTTCGCCATGGACTTGATGAACTTCTGACGATCTTCTTCGGATAGATCCTTCAATCTCACTTCTGACCTGGTGGCCTTGCCCGTGAGGAGATGAAGAAGCAGTCATCACTTTCGTCCTCGTCGACGTCGGCCTCGTGCTCTTCCTCTCCGTTGCTGTTCATGCGCTTCAGCCGTGCCACGCGCACGCTCTCGGCCAGGGGAGGAATCCCGTAGAGCGCTGCATCCGACATGTAAGGAGTTTCAGGTTCTACGGCGCGACCCGTTCTCTCAGGCGCATACCGCATAACCATCCCGACGATCGAAGTCATGAAAAATGCTTGTAGGGATCGATGTCGTAGGTAGGAGTCGCTGCGGCTTCTTGGCAAAGTGACCTCTGGAGGAGGTAGAGGAGGATCGTCGCGTTCCATAGGTCGAGGAGCCTCATCCAGCAAACCTCCATCATCATTCTCTTCAGGCACAGGCGGGAGCAACTCGGGCATCACAGGGATACCCGTTTGGGGGATCGCAGAAGAGACTTCAAGGCCCGCCTGCCTCAAGGGCAGTCCTATGGCACTACCTCACTCCCTGGTCAAAGCTTGCAGACGTTCTCACTAAGTGGCACTTGTCAGTTAGAGCCGACTGAAGCAGCCAAGACCAGAAGCTGATCCAGGCCTCGCGGCATGCCCGAAAAGCGCCGTCGAGAGCCGAGGATGGGTGTTAAAGCAGCACCGTGACAGCAGTGTGCCGGACTGTCGCTACGTCTCTCGAGGGCGCCGTTTGAGGCAAAAGTTAGCCGCCACGCTTGCGCCACGTTGCTGGCTTGCTTTTGATTTAGTGTTGCGTGCTGTGTGTTTAGAAATTGAGTGAGTCGTATACCAAGAGCACGCTGCAGACAATTCAACAGGCTTTGTTAAGTGGCGGGGAACTCTCAACTGCCACGGCTAGGCGACAATAAAAGCAATCGTATGAGCTGCTCATGATCGATCCGGGGTGCATGAGCAGATATGGGGACATGCATCTTCTGCTGCGCAGGGTTGGGCTTGGGCTGCGCTGACCGCATCCGCGCTTCTCTTTCATCCCTCGAAAATGCATTGCTTCGCTGTCCGGCGTTTGTCTAGCTTTCGTAGCCGCAATCTCAAGTTGGAATTAACACTGCCCCAAACAACCCTCCTCTAAGACAGCCCTTCGGGGGGGAACCATTTTGTTTGCCTGTTTTTTTGGCCCTTTTTCTGTTAGGACCCCCAAGTCTGGTTTGGAATGTTGGAAACTTGTAACCTTAACAAGCGGTTGTGATATCACGGTTTCTGGTTTTCCCTTAAAGATGGGCCCCCCCACCCGAGATTATTACAACCAGAACTCCCACTTTACAACCGCGAACACCATTATCAAGATCAGAATCCCTACTTTACAGCTCGACAATCTGAGAATCCCTAGTTCACAAGTGCACAAACAATTCTCTCTGTCTAAGCAGGCGGTTACCTGCGGCAGCATCAGGCCCCTTTGGTGAGGGGTGCCAACTGATGCTTGCCAATGGGCCACTGGAGATGCTTTTCCCTTGTCAGGTGTCTGCTGGTGCCGTTTCTTTTTCTTTCTGCCTGTTTGTCTGTCTGTTTAGTGCAGTTTAGGGTTTGGTATTGCAAGTTTCGGGTTTAAGTATAAAGTCCTGTCAAGCAGCTTGGTCGGCGTATGTCGGCGTTCTGGAAAGGCTCACGGGTTGCAAAGCGGGGGTTCTGGTTGTGAAGTGGGGATTCTGGCTGTAAAGTGGGGTACACGTCCCCCCCCCTCCTTAAATCAATTGGCGCAACCCTGAGGGGAAGTGGGGGGGGGGGGGGAAAGATTGCAGACTCAATTCGTTAAGGGGGGTAGAATGGGGTACACCCCCCTCTCTGAAATGAAATTAACGCAACCTGAGGGGGGGGGGGGGGGGCGAAGATTGGCGAACTCAATCTTTAAGGGGCTGGGGGGGGGGGGTCGCACGCCCCCGACCCCGCAGTCAAGGGTCGGGGTCGCTTGTTGACCCACTTGAAGACAAGAGAGAAAGGTTGGAAGCGACAACTCTCGCAAGGAGCTAGCTTTCGTGACAAAGAAGCAAGTTCAGTTTTTCCTTTTGTTGGATTCCGGCACTTTGACAACCTTATTATGTGCGTGCGACTCTTGCACATCTTTTTGGATGCTCCCCCGTGCGCATATCACGTGAAGACATCGTCGACCTTTGGCTGTGCTTCAGCCTTACTCCAAAGCTCAGCTGCGCATCTAATAGGGATTCCCAAAAACCCAAAGATATCGCTTCACGAGTTCTGACTTCTGCTGGAACCCCATCACTGCACTGGGTAGCGCGCCAAGACACGAAGTGCTTCTGACTCTGCTCCTTGACTTCGAACGTGACAACGCAGAGACCCTATCAATGGATGCCTCCTATTGAAGATTTTCGTGCAGTAGCCGTCCATGGAGAAAACGCAAGGTTCCCGCACACCATCGCACACACTTTACACAAGCACATGAAACTGGCCTGTTTCGGTTTCCTCATCAGACGCGTGATCCTGTGTTGGCGGCTTGGCATGCGCCCAACATCACATGTGAACTGATGTGAACTGTAACCTGGCAAAGTTTCACTGTGTACCGTTGGAGATTCGTTTTGAAGGTTTTGACCAACAAAGTTCGCCACACATAGAATTTTTGAATACGCTCGACATGCTGAGAGCGT